TCGTTATTAATAATCGCTTGCTGATCAAATTTACGAAGTGTGGGTTATTTATAATATAAAATATCATAGTTCAGAACACTTAATTTTTCAAATATATGTAGGCTGATTTTTGAAACATATTCATGCAAGTCATCAAAGATAACAGAATCAAATAATAACGAAGTTTAATTATTGCAATACGTATCATAGCTAAATATAGTTCAAATTTAGCTATGATCATTAAAAGATATATTTATATCAAACATTTAATCACGGCCCGCGGCGAGGTATATTGTCCCAAACGCATATAATTTGCTGTTATATTTGCCAAAAATTATAAATCGTGAGATGAACATTGACTTCGCATATTATACGTTCTAATACGTTTGGAAATACGGGAACATGTTAATCAAACATATACTAATTTTTTTACACTATTCTTTACTTTTTGGCCAACTTCGAGCAAGACTTTCGCCTCAGTTCTCCAATCCTACTTCAGAAACTTCACTTGTTTTAATACACGATGATAACAGCTTGTTTTCCTCTTTTAAGCAAGCCTCACCTAAGCTTTTTTTAAGAATTCATTTATTCTTTAGAAAAATTAGAATGTACAATTTTCAAAAATTTCAGAAATAGTTTAGCTATAGTTTTAGCTATAAATTTTGACGGGGAAAATAGGAGCATATAAATAAATGGCAAAAACTGTATATTTGAAACAGATTATCGAAGAATTTCAGGAAAAAGTCAAAATTTAGATTTCGACAAGTTCTCAAATTTCGATAATGAATGAGCTGGACGCCGTTATAAAAAATTCGGAATTTTAAAAACTTAAAAGGAATCAAAGGTAAATGAAATTCACGATGTTTGATAGTTGTAAGTTTCCCAGTTTCTCGTCGTTCATTGGGATGCATGCTTTGTTAACAATTTTTAGCATGTAAATAATTTTAATCCTAAATTTTGACTGAGAAAACATAGAAAACATACAGGAAAAAAATATATACCAAAAATTTCGATACATTTAAAGACAAATATTGACTAATTTCATTTGGATTTTGATCAAGACCTAAATTTTGACGAGGAATTGATTTGAACGCCGTTAAAAAGAATTTTGAATTTCAAAATCCTAAAAAGAAAAGAAGGTTATTTACATAATATGAGATCTTTTGACCAAAAAATCACATACTCTTTGAAAAATTCATATATTTAATAAAGACTAGCTACTGATATGGTAAAATTTTAATATTTTGTCGCTCATTTTACCATTAATAAAACTTCAATAAAAACTGTTATATAAGGAATAATACATTGTTAAAAATCTGGTAGAGTCAGATATATACTCCTTACTGGTATTGATTTGGTAATAATTTCCTACCGGATTGGTAGTAAATTGTTCTTGAGTGGTAAATTTTTCATTACCACAATATTACTGAACGGTAATTCCCGTTAATACCAGTTCCGGTATAGTCACATATGTACTCTGGTCAGTAATGATTTAATACCAGCTTTCTAAGAGTGTATTACCGAGCTATTACTGTACAGTACTGCATATCAATACCACTTTGATAGAGTAATACATGAATACCGCTTGATATTATTTTAATACTGGATTTCTAAGCGTGTGACATTCATGGAGAGCATCTGGTCAAAATTGTGGGATTTTTGGTAGTTGTAATACGCGAAAGAGAACAAAAATATGTTTTGAAGAGTGGTGCGAGGAATCGAACCCTGCGTCTCCCGTTTACCGGACGGACACCTTTTACCACTAGGCTAACCGCCCTTCTTCACATCTATCACTCTCTTTTACAACCACCAAATTCCACGTATTCTCTCCTACAGTTGCCCGGAAATAGTTTAGAGTGGTCCCCACTCTATAAGGGGATATATGGGAGAGAATATACTTGCACCACCGACTGCTCAGCTGAGGCAACGCATGCTGGTCTAGCGGTGGTGGACAGAAAGTGGATGACGTCTCATGCCCTGCGCGAGGAGCTCACTGCATGGACGGAAATTGGGGTTTGGGGATTTTTGGGGGTTGGGCTTCCGTTTAACTTGAGAGGGATCGAGATCGAACAGCTGTTCCACCACATGTGGGATTTTTGGTGGATTGCATACGCGTTGAGAGCAAAAATAAGAAGGAAGAGTAGTACGAGGAATCGAACCTCGTGTCTTTCTCATGCCGGGAGAACACCTTACCACTAGGCTAACCGCCCTGCTTCCTATCCTTGCTCTCTTTTGCAACCACCAAATTCCACTATTCTCTCTTACAAAATTTGGAAAAATTGATGCCATCCTTAACGTACAGGGTGCCAAAAGTATGCTGCCAAGTTGCATCGGAAAAGAATGAAGGATATGAAAAAAAATCTGTAACTTTGTAACAAACAAAGCGAGAGGGATGTGAATTCTGAGCCAAGAAAGTTTTTTTTAAGAAATACATAAGCCAATATTTTTATGAAGCTTATGCATTTACTACACTGGAAATATTTAATTTAGTGGTGAAATTTCCACCACGTTTATGTAGAAACTAAAGTACCCCGTTAGTAATGATTTGTGATGGAACGGTAAAATAATTTTCATTCAAGGACTGTAAAAGCATTTTTAATTTATTTATATTTCATGGCTTATCCTTTCAAAATGTTATCTAAGTAAAGATAAATAAAGATATCTAAATAAATTTAATTCTAAATATTGATTTAGATTTAAATTTACGTAGTGAAATCTTAATTGTGTTTTTTTTAATTTTATATATTTACGAGTAAACTTTACGCGGTCCTTGGTAACTTTGTAAAATTAGTAAATTAAAAACAATAATTTTGCAAACTTTTACATAATGAAAAGACGACCTTGATCTGGGTATCTAAGTTTATAAAAATTAGTACGCTAATTTTCCTCAGAAATATCTGTAAAATTACTCCAATGCTTGCAATCTGCGTAAACTTTGTAAAATTACGTTACAATTTACAATCTTTGATAGTAGTCCATGGCAACTTTTAAAATCCGTAAAAGTTTTGTAAAATAATTTTACAAAAGGCAAGATCACAAAAATTTGTTAAGCTAATTTTTCTTCCAAATATTTTTGTACAAGTTTGTAAGTTTATTTGTAAGTTACAATGCTAAAGTTAAAAGTCATAATGTAAATATTGGTATTTATTATAAGATACTAAATGCAAATTAGATTATTGTCAAGATATTTGTTCATATTATGGTATTTAGAGCAGAATTTTTCAAAAAAATCTTGAAAAAAATCAATGATTTTCTAAAAATCTTGCGAAATTTGGGATTTTTCACAGTTACGCTCGCCTAATATGTCAACATGTAAATATGACTTAAATTACACTCAAAATAAGGTAGTAATGAATTATTACCATGCGGAATGACTATGTGGCTCTACCACGTCGGTTACGATTTGTCGTAGAAACAGTAACAATAAGTTCAGGAAAATTCAAATTTAATACATAATGATATTCACTTCCTTAGTACCTGGTAATGATTTTGAATTCCCTGAACTTATTATTACTGTTTCTACGACAAATCGTAACCGACGTGGTAGAGCCACATAGTCATTCCGCATGGTAATGATTCATTACTACCTTATTTTGAGTGTATTTATGACCATCTCGAAATCCATTTAGGCAACTTTGCCCAAACAATTTCACTCAATTAAATGTGATAAATTAGATACCTACTTGTCATCGGAGTTAATTTTCAGAGATATTTTTCGGAGATAATTATCAGAGTTAATTGTTCAGTCTAAATTATTAATACAAATTTATCCACCGGTTTGAACAAGATTAAAGTTCTCGTGCATAAATTAACCAAGTTTTTTATTTGCCACACGCAACTCATGATAACCAACCACAAAGATAAGTAATTAGCATGACGCATAATTTACAAGTTGTTCTTTTGATTCGCTGAAACGATGCAAGTTCATGATAAATAAATATGTACGTAATTGTCTCAATTTGATTGGGCTTATGACACGTTTTGAACGTTTCCAGCTTGTGATATCAGCAAATTATCCATGTAATCACAGGAAGCAAGATAAACAATTTCATGAACTAGGTGAGCAAGCGTACACTCTAAATAATTCGGTAGCGATAGCATTAAAAGGCGGTGACTCTACCACCATGATGCTAATTTGTTACCGAGTAGTCAACTTGTTATCACCCTGGTAATTAGTGCAACCGAGGAGTTAAAAAAATATTGCGAATGAGTTAACTATAAGATCAAAAATGGATTACTATTGCGGTAAAATCACACACGCTTCTAGAAATCTGGCATAGTCAGGCAGATCTTGATTTCTCGGTATTAAAGGCGCTACCGTTTGGTATTAACATTATACCCGCCCGTAAAAATTTGCTACCGATATGACAAAACTTTAATAACGGGTTATTACTATAGCTTTTATTTTACCAGTTTGGTAGAGTCATATTTATATGAATACCGCTCGGTATTATTTTAATACTGGATTTCTAAGAGTGCATGATTATCACACGGTAATGGCTGTTACCGTATTATTTAGAGTGTAGTCACACGATAATTTATTAGTGCTAAATAAATATCGGGATTTGTCCAATTCTTTATTGCACGCATTTAAGGCAGGCAGTGGTGGCCGAGTGGTCATCACACTGTGCTTCAAGCCGAATGGAGGTTCTGGGTTCAATTCCCAGTACTGGCAGAGAGTTTTTTCCCTTGTGGTTTTCCTCTCTGACTTGTTGCACAGGTCTGTGCGGTGTCCATTGCACTACGGGCACCATAGTTAGGAACCTGTGACCATCTATTTCTCACTTATGTGAGGTTTGGTTCACTTGTAATTCAAATGTAATGGCTAAAATTGGGAATCAATAAAGACGACCTTTTTTTTTATATAATTAAAAACGTTGCGTTGGTGACTATACATCCCCATTCCTCAACCAGCTTTCATTTCAATTCAACCCAGCCAATTTTTTGCGTAAGTCATGAATAACGAAATTTTAAAAAATTTTAAGGAAAAAACCGTCGCACGAGGGATCGAGAAAGTGAAAATGAAAAATGATTATCAACGATTTGATGGAGTCACGTATCGCGTCTGGTAAGTAAAATTGAAGAAAATCAATGTACATTTTGGGTGCACTTCATTTATGAAATATTTTACGAATTGGCAAGATTTTTTTGCGAAATCTAGTAAATTTTTTATTTTAGGTCATACTTGTTCAATTTTTGTTCCTTCATTCCAAATTCCTTCACTTCGAAATTCAATTTGAATCATTCATTCATATTCTTCGTTCATTCAATGAATAATTCATTCATTCGTTCGTCCCACGTATTTAACATAGGTATTTTTTGGAAGACTTAATCTAATATTTAACTGTTACGGTTTAAAATATTTATCATAATTGATTTTTGACGTCGAAGTCTACCAATTTTGAAAGGTTACAAAGGAAAATCAAGTTACTTACAGATCAGTGGCGCATTTCACGTCAACTTTCGTAAGTAATAATAATAAGTCTTTATTGTCAAAAGGTAACAACGTGATAACATGCTGATTTCCAACCATTGACATTTAACTAAATACGTAATTAGTAGTATATTTAATTTCAAGCTTAAGATTAACATCTCCTTTTTAAAATATACGCCGTCAACTTGAATTTGAAGACATCAAGATTTTTTTCATCTTTAATTTCATTTGGTAGTTCATTCCAAAATTTTATTACCTATATTTAACACTTTTTTCAAAGAGCACAGTTTTGTGTGGTGGAATAACGAAACAATTTGTGGACCTTGTTTCATGAACCGATCCATGAATAGTAACAAAATTTTGAAGTAATTTAGGAATATATATTTTATAATCATTTGTAAAACTTTTAGCAAAAAGGGAAAGATAGTAGTTTGGTTACTCATCTAACTTAACTAAATTAAACATTTCATATAATACATTTATGTTAATAATACGTGGAGAAACCCAAGATCTGAGACAGTTATTTACGACTTTTTGGACGCGTGTTAAAGTGGTACTGGAAGATCCAGCCCATATTTGAATACCATATTCAAGACAAGACATTACAATTGCGTTGAAGATTAGATGAAACTTATCGGTAGGAATTTTCCTTTTGAGTTTCAGCAGATAATGAATACGAGGTGTAATTTTGTTAATAATTTTATCTGCATGCACGTCGAACCTTAACTCCTCATCTAACCAGACCCCTAAATATTTAAATTCAGAGACCCTGGTTATTTCAAAATTTACCGTTTTTATTGAATCCAAATGGGGTATTTTTTTCGTGCGACTATTTCTAAAAATCATAAAATGGGACTTTGTCCAGTTTATTTTCATGCAGTTTAAGTTACACCATGCATGCAGGATTTCAATCCTTTCAATTGCTATTTTTTGAATTGTGTCAAAGTTTTTATGGGACACTAATGACGAAATATCATCAGCAAATACATCCTTGTGACCTTCAAGTTGGTCAACGCCGTCGTTTACATATAAATTAAATAGAATTCGTAAGTCTGTAACCATGTAAATTTACGAAGTTTTGACGAAACTTTCGAAAATATAGAAGGTATTTTTGCTTACGAAGTGCAAAACCAGAAAAGAAACCAGAAAATAAAATAAAATGGCATGTTTTTGGTTCGTAAGCTGATCATAAATTTTACGTGGTTACGAAGTTTGACGTGAATGGCCCCATTTTAAAATCCGTAAATTCTGCAAACTCTTGCTCACATTTCTGAGGAAAATTTGGTTACAAATTTGTGCAAATTTGCTCAGATTAAGTTTATTTTGTACAAGTTTTTAACAATTTAACAAAATTTGCTCATTTTACAAAGTTACCAAAGACTGCGTGAATGAATATTTTCCAGGACAACAGTTAATCGACGCATCGCTCTAACCGGACTTGGCTTCTTGGGTCCCTACCTGGCCGATGGGTCCTTCAGGGTCAGCATTATCATTGAAACGGTTCCCGACTGGAAAACCATCCTTGAAACCGGGAAATTTGAAGTGTATGCCAAAAAACGGGAAATATTTTACGTCGATTTCGACAAGCCCTTCACCATGGAGGCGAATAAGTGCTACAGCATGGGCTACAAGCTGGATGTAAGTGGAAAATTTACGATTTGCAGGCATTAAAATTTTTTTAACGTGGTATTTTATGAGGGTTTTGAGTATGAATTTTTGTCTCAACTTTCCCTTTTTCCATGTATTCAAATTTCTATTATGAAAACTGTTCAGCTCCGTGAATTTTTTAGAAAATTGAGACTTTATTATAGATTTTTAGGTTTACAAAGTTAGGATGTTACAATTTTGATTTTTTCCTTCTATGAGAATATAAATTTAAAATAGATGCAACGTAGTAATTAAAAATTAAATATTTTCTCATGGAAGAAAAAAATCAGAATTCTAATCTTCTAACTTTGCAAACTTAAAAATTATTTATTTTTGGATGCAATAAAATCAGCATTTTTTAAAAAATGCACAGCGATGAACAAGTTTCAAAATCGCCGTTTGAAGCCATAAAAGAAGGGAAAGTTGAGACACAAAAACTCAAATTCAAGACCTGGACACAAGTGCACCATTAAATTACTACCATTAAACATTATTTTGTTGGCCGAGCGACATATTGAATCTAAAATTTTGTTAAACAATTTAAAAACTCGGCGATACTTTTATTGGCGTTGGCGTTCAGAAATTGAAAAAATCGTGAGACTTTCTACCAGGATGTTTTTTTGCAAATGTAGAAAACCTTGTAAATTATTAATCGCAAAAATAATGAGGAAATGCAAGCAGGAAAGGGTAATTTCATAAAATAATTGCACGCTAATAATTCACTTCATTGTTTTGGCGATCCATAATTCACAAGGTTCTCCGCATTGCAAAAAAAAATCCTGGTAGAAACCCTCATGCAGGATTTTTTGCAATTGTAGAGCGCCGTTTAAAGTATCGCAGATTTTTAAACTGTTTAACAGTATATTAGATATAGTTCAACTACAGATATTGACGCAATTCAAATAGCCCTTACAAACTTTGGAAAATCCGTTAATTTTCGTAAAATGATTTTACAAACTGATACAAAATAAAGAGACGCCTTTGATTTGAGCAAATTTACAAAAATTTGGGAGCAATTTCTCCTCCGATATATTTGTAAAAGTTTGCAAGTTTCCAGAATTTATGAATTTTACAATGTTACTTGTTAATTGACTCATTAAATAATGGCGAAAATTAAAAATGGAGATAATTTTGCGGAATACAAATTTATAAAAAAAAATTAGGGTCCAAAAACCGGTGTATTGGACGAGTTGCAAGCTATCATCAAGGTGGACGACGTATCCTTCTGCTTCTCAACGGATTCGCGACAATTGGCAGAATTAAAATATATACTTCTCGATAAATACTAATAATTAAATTGGCAATGTTATAAGAAATTAATAAATTATGTGATAAACTAAATTACGTGCAATTGAATTGTCAATCGTAACTAATATTTTATTTGGATATGTTAAAACATTAGATGTTACGAAGTTTGTTTGTACAATGAGACAATTCAGGCAATCCTCCTTGGTAACTTCATAAAATCCGTACATTTTGCAACATACTTTTACAAACTTTTACAAAATAAAGAGACGCCCTTGATCTGAGCAAGTTTGCAAAATTTTGTAGGCTAATTTTCCTTTGAAATATTTGCAAAATTTTGTACAGTTGGAAGTTTACGGATTTTACGAAGTTACAAAAGATTGCATGAATTGCCTCATTATGTAAGAATTTCTCCATGAAATGTATTTATTGGTAAATTTACAAGTCAAAATGTAAGTATTCTATTTTTTAGAAAACCGTATTAAGTACGAATTAGGTAGAGCTTCTATTGCAAACTTTACAGATTTTGCATTTTTTGCCAGAATTACCTCACTTACTTGAAAACTTACAGTGTCTATTTCTATGAATACATTTTATAAAAATTGAAAATTTACAATTTCTCTATACACGACTTACTCAGGTATTGGTAATGCAGTAAATCTCAAAATTTATAACCTTTATAAGAAATATATAAAGCATCAAATTACAAACGTATCATAAACTTACTCAAAATTTATCAAATTTTCTAAAATTTGAAAAATGTCTTACAAAATTTACTCACATTTTACAATGGGTTACAAACATCAACATCTACGTGAATCGCTGTATTACTAACTTTGGCACGTATTTAAAAGAAAACTTGCAAAGCTATCAATGTTAATCTAAATTGCTAAATTCTTACCAATGTGTTTACCCCAAATTAATTGTGTTATCGTCACGAGTTTACACACTTTACAAAAAGAGTGAACTACATCGCAACACAAATCGCTACCATATGACTCTACCAAATTATTTATTAAGGGCGTAATCATCTTTAATCCGAACCCTTCTCAGAATTTTACGCAGTTCACAAAAACATTGGCGTGAACTACTCTGGTCGCAATGCAATTTCAATAAAGCGTGACTTCATAAACTAAGCATGATTAACGAAATTAGCCAACTGCGCGTCACGTCAAGAAACCCACACCTCGCGCAATCTTTCTCATCTTGCAGTTGCACATTGAATCAAGCACGACACATGCACATTCAGATTTTCAAGTCCGGGCACGCATCCCGTAACGGGTGGAGGACAGAAAGGATGTCGCCAAAACCTTGACGAAACCCGACATTCATTTTTATATGGGTTACAAATATCTACGCAAATCGTATGCAGTGAAATTGTAAAATGCTAATTTTTACAAAATATTTTCATAAAACTAGCCGTGCAAGTTTTCGATTATAATGACAAAATTCACGAAAAATGTCGCCACAACTTTGACCCACCGCCGAAATTAAAGTTGTAAACTTGGCATGATAGCAAATTCATGAAACTAAACAAATTCTGCGTAACGGTAAATTTGTAGATTTTTAAGGAAAATTAGCTTTAAAATGTTTCATGAACTTATTTTCAGAATCTATGTAAAGATTGTTAGGTAATTTTACAAAATTTACAGTTCGAAATACTGAGGCTATTTACGTATTCCGTATTCAATTGAAAAATCCATAATTTCTGTAAAATTATATATAATTTTACAGAAATTATATGATCATTTATCAAATTTCTATAGAAATTTGATAAATGATCATATTTTACGAAACTATTTCTGAGGAAAATTGGTTCACAAATTTTTGTAAACTTGCTCAGATCAAGGACGTCTTTTTATATTATTAGTACAATTATTTTAGAAAATTACATCAAATCTTACAAGATTCCAATGCATGCATTTCCCGAAAATTTGTCCCATTAGCGTTCGTTTTCTGGATATTTTTTAAGAATTAGAAGGGTTTCGACGCCAAGAAAAATATTTTCAATGAATTATTCGCATCAAAATATTCAAAATAGAATAACGTCAAAATATCTTGTAATTAATTTTTTCAGAAATTTATCCTAGATTTTGAAAATCTCGCAATTTCTTCAATTACACGAATTCCAACTTACTTATATAGTGCTCGATCTCTTTTGGGGTTTGGAGTCGACACAAAATAAATTGTGCAAAAAAAATTAGGAAAAAATCCATATGCCAACCTTTCTGCACGGCCATCTAATAACTCAACCTAATCTTTTTTTTGCACTAATAATAAAATAAACTTTAGCGTGAGTGAGAGAAATGTATTTTTCTGAGTTATGCATTCCTCGCCCAGATTGTGCACCCAAGTCATTTAAAGAAGTGGAACAAAAATAAGCAAAAACTTGGCTAATGTTCTCTGGAGTGAGTGAAAGAATTTTAAAATGTCATTAGGCACACTCTTAGAAAACCGGTATTAAATCATTACCGGCGGAGTACATGACTCTACCCGCCCAGGTATTAACGGAAATTACCGTTTAGTAATGTTGTGGTAATGAAAAATTTACCACTCAGGAACCATTTACTACCAATCCGGTTGGGAATTATTACCAAATCAATACCAGCACGGAGTATGTATGTGACTCTACTAGATTTTTAACAGTACAGCTGGATTAAAAAATATATATTATGAATGAGAATTGTTTTTTTTTGCGTTTTGAAATTTTGAAACTGCAGTTTTACATATTGGGACAATTCACGCAAGCCTTGGTAACTTTGTAAAATACGTGTACATTAAAAAAATGATTTTGCACACTTGTCACTTTTACAAAATAAAAGATGCCCTTGATCTGAGTAAGTTTACAAAAATTTAAGAGTTCATTTTGCTTGGAAATATTTGTAAAATATTACAGAATTTACGGATTTTACTAGGTTACCAAGGCCTGCGTGGACTTTCTCGATAAATTCCAAAGAAGAATTAAAATTTGTAAGAGTTAAATGCCAAAATTATTAATGTGTTATGTTTTAACAATGTAATTATTAAATCCAAATTACATGTGCGACGTCGCATTTTTGTAAAAGTATAAAGCTTCTGGCGATTCAGTTCCTAGTTCCTTTGGGTTGTATTTAATTTTTGCAAACTTTTACGAAATGAAAACACGCCCTTGATCTGAGCAAGTTTATAAATATTTGTGAGCTAATTTTGTTCAGAAATATTATTAAAATTTTGATGAATTTTATGTTTTCAAGTTACCAAGCATTGTTCCAATTGCGTCATTATTTTTGATGCGGTGCGGTAAACGCTTTAATTTAAGAACTTCAGGATCTGCAATCTATACAGCTATTTAAACACACGTAAAATTGTGTAACGGCTCCGAATATTTGCTATATGGAGCCGTTGCATTTACAAAATATGTTACTTTATCAAAAAAAGAAACGTTTAGTTCAAGTGCAAATTAATTTGAAATTATTCATAAATTCACATCGGGCGTACTCACGTCAAGGTTATTGTTCTCGTCTCGACCCTTTTAGAACTTTACGTCATGAATTATAAACAGATGTCCATAATTTTCCGAGTAAATAAAAAATTTCATGACTTTCTGCGAAAACGATATTTTAAAAATTCCAAAAAATTTGGGAAATTAATTTGATATGACAGATTTGCATAGTAAATATGTAAATCTGCGCAGTTTGTCGTGAGTTTGATCATAAAACCAAAATTTAATGTAATTTTGCTGTCCCATTTTACAATCTACTTTTCAGGGAATATATCAAAAGCGATTTTGCGTATAAGGAAATTCAGCAAAGCAAAATTGTGCAAAAATTTGCACACGCATTCTGCACATCTATTTAGGATTAGAACTAAAATTGGTTAATTAATAAAAAGGTATTATATGTATACCCAACGTGCATAGAAAAATATTAAATATTAATAGTTAATACCGACACAATTCACGAGTTTTTTTTTTGTAACTTGCTATTTTGATAGTTTATATTTATAATCAATCTATTAAATTTTTGATTTTTTTTCTAAATTAATGATTAATAACTAATAATGACATAAATGCGTGGGGTTAAAATTGTATTTTGTTTTTATATAAAACATTTTCAACAAATTTATAAATTATTGACTAAATGGCGAGGTTTCATATAAAATCTTGTTAACCGGGTCAAAAACGCCGTAATACATTAAACGGCTTCCTGTAAATAGAAATTTATTTGCAAGTGGTGCACTAGCAAATAAATTTCTATTTCCATGTATGAGACTTTCCAGCAGGACGTTATTTGCGAAAAACTTTGCAAATTACGAATCGCTAAAATAATGAGGCAATTCAAACAGTCTTTGGTAACGTGCAAAATCCGTAAATTTTGTTACAAATTTTTATTAACTTTTTCAAAATAAAAAGACGCCCTTGAGCTGAAAATGAGTAAGTTTACAAAAACTTGTAATGTAATTTTCCTCAGAAATATGTGTATAATAACTCCAATTGTTGCCAACTGCGTAAATTTTGTAAAATTACGCTTAAATTCAAGCTTAAATTCAAACAATGTCAGTTTACGCCGTCAGTAAGGACATTATAGCAACCCTCGCTCATTTTCTATTTATAGATTTTATAGCGAATGCATGCAACTTTTAGCATGCAAATTTTATGCATGCATTTTTTGCATGCAAACTTTTTTTGCATGGAGTTTTGCGATGCTGGGGGCTGACCCCCCCAGGGGTTGCAGATAACCCCAGCGCAGTGACCGCGGCGCCGTGACCTTTGACCCATAAAAAAAATACCAGAAATACATGTACATATATAAATTAATCAACTTTTATTGACACAACAGTGCACATTTATGATGTGAAAAACACCCGAAATATATATGAAAAAATAAACCACAGCAAACTATATAATTTATGTAAATTATATGGAGCAAGCACTACATGGATGTTGGTGGTGTGGAAAATTCTCCATGCATTTCGACATCATTTGAACGATGACGACGTTGGGGGAGGCTGAATCCCCACATATTTGGGCGTGGTTCCGCCTGCTGGGTGTGGTCGATCCACCATTGACGAATTTTTTGCCGGTTGTGAATTACACATCGCAAAAAGAGCACAATTCCAACCAACAAAGTAAGAAAGAAGCCTGCAAGAAAATCATCATAATGTAAAAAATATTGACTTTTTCTGGCTTTCTAATTACGTACCGTAATCTGAAGGACCCCAGGATCGATCGACAATGATTGTGGGTGGACTCTGGGACGTAGTGGGCGGTTCAATACAGAGCCGCTCCCCACCTTTCACGAGTTGAGAACTCCCACGAGATCATCCCTCATTTTAGTGCATAAATTGGCACCTGCATTAAAAAATATGATATGTACATATGTAAATACATAATATATTCTGCATACGACATAATAATATCTGCACTTTTAATTCTTTGCGAATACAATTCTATACTTAAATGAATAAATATTTATGTATGTAGTTACATATGTATTTGTTAATATGTAATTACATATGGTTATTAATAATATGAAATATAACAATGCAAAAAATCTTACCAGTATCAAAAACTACAAAAATGCAGTCTTTTGCTAAGCAAGCAGAGCAATTGTTCGAAAATTCGAAACACATGTTGTTTATTAAATTTTTATGAACAGAGTAAGAGTTAATGTGCACAGTACTTATGAAATGATGGTAAGGTGAAACTGGTGCAGGTAAAAATGAGATGCATAACGCATGATAATTAGCAAAATACATGAGCTTTTATTTATATATGACAAAATTGACCATGAATGAGACAATATAAAAATCGGAAATGCACATATTAGTTGATATTGGTGAATCATTTTACATTGGGGTGTGGTTTTACACGCCGAACTGATACACGAGGTGGGCAAGATGACGATCTTTCATTAAATTTTAGTTTTAAGCTAAAAACTGATGACTTGTCGTCAAAAAAAGTTGATGCAGTGGAATTTGTTGGTGACGATGACGGTTGAATGGTGGAGGATGCAGAAGGGGTGGGCGAAGGGGGAGGTGTAGTTTCTGTGGGGGTGACTGCATGAGCGGCTCCAGGACTATTTGTGGGTGTGACCTGGCCTATAAATGCGTGACGTGTTAAGTTTCACAGTTTAATAGCTTAATTAAATGTACATGGCTTGCAAAAGCTGGCCTACTTCATTTGACATTCCAAGCGAGTTACGCCCAGTTTTATTCTAAAGAAATTTACTTTAAGATATTTATTATTCCACATACAATGAATTGATTATTGCTTAGTTTTATTGATACACACAAAGTGACAATGAATTTGCTTATATTAATTTGTGTCGTGCTGCAGACCGTAAATTCGTATGCGGAATGTTATCGTCATGATAGTTGTGTGCAATGCATTCAAATTGTGGGTTGCGTTTACGGAGTAACAAGTTCAAGTCCTCGGAAATGTTTTCATCGTGACGAGATTCCGGTTGGAATTTTGGCAACCTTTCGAAATCCGGCTGCATGTAAAAGAATTTACAGGTTTGGTAGGTTCATTTTCATGTTTTCACTTTATACTGAGAACAAAGTGTTTCTTTACTGAATAAATAAGTTGTTTTTTAATTTTTAGCAACCACCCAGACGAGTGCATTTGATAACCATTCTAAAAGTGGAAACAATATCATTGTTAAAGAAGAGATAATGCACAATGTTTTAACAGGTATGCACTGCCATTTTTCGCAATTTATTCCATTATTTTAACATTTTGACATTCTTAGAGCGGGCTTCAACCTCCACCACAACTGAAAATCAATTGTATACTTCAACATTACCTACTTTCACGACTTTGCCACAGACCAAAATAATGACGACCAATTTTTATTTGCCGGAAACCTTACATCCCACACAACCAAGTGTTGATCACGAGCAAGACAATACAGAGACCACAACGGAGACAATAATAAACACTGCTGTCGCCGGTATTGTACACATTGTTTTTGTTACGTAATCTCGGTTTTTCATTCATAAATAAAACCATCACAGAAAAACTGGCAATCGAGACTACAATCCTACCAATGGTGGAATCAACTACGCATTTCTCTGAGCTAATTCATCGGCCCACTGATCCATTCCTGTTGCTGAATACGAGCATCACAATTGGGGGTATGCACACCATAGTTAAAAAAATAACACGTAAAGTTTATTAAAATTTTATTTATAGAAACCAATAATACTGCGAATTGGAATAATGGTTCCAACCATAGTGGAAGTTTCAACTCTTCCGTCCCGACAACTACCAATTTAACGATTTCGGTATTTATTAGTGTTTATATGCAACCAATCCCAATTCCGTCTAAAGCCACGAGAACAAATTCGTATGCAATTCTTATTGTGTCACTTCTTAGACTTTTCCAGTTGTAGCAGCAAGAAAACGGAAAATGTGGAGCACCTATGACAAAATTGGATTATATGCATGCAGAATTACTAAATTACTTAAGAAGAATAATTTCTTTCATGATCGAGATCTTTCTACTATTAATAATATCATATCGAGGAAATTTGATTATGTATTATGTGATTCGTTACTCAGCGGAAAGCCAATATTTTATGCCAAAAACATTTAAATATATGCAACAAGTTAATTAAGCAAATGCATTTGCAGAGTGTTGGATTTAGAGGTTAAGTTCTAGCAATAAATAATTATGATAATTTTATTACAATAAATGCATGAAATTTTTTCGATTTATTTTTTTATTTGCTCATTTCCATCAAATCATTTGTTTTTATTTTCAATCATCAACTTAAAATGATTAGAAATCACTACTAAAATCACTACTAAATTCTACATGTATATATGAACTCTACAAATGACTCATTTCGATAAAATCACTACTAAATTACTACTTTTTTTTATTTTTCGTTCGTTTACTGGCGGGGGCGTTTGTGGGGGGGATGCTTGGACTGCTGCTTGGACTGCGGCTTCCTGTACCTCCTTTATTGCTTCAGACACAACTGACGAGGTCAGAGGCTGAACCGTCAGCATCTCATTCGGAGCTGAAGACAGTTGTTTTACACACGTTGTAAGGAAGAGAGTATCCTAAAAAAAACAAGCATGCTTTGCAACAAAATCGTAATTATAAGTACGAAAAAAAATTGGAAACACTTACCTTTGATGCGTCATGTAGCCTATTAACCAGGCCCATAGCATTGAGATGTTGTAATTTTTTAAATATATTCAAATTTGTCCTAAATTTGAGTTTTAACAAGTCTAATTCCTTTGCCAATTTTGTTCTTTCTTCTTGAGTATTTTCCATTTGCTTTAATTTTGTCTCCAGACTTGAGATTTCTTCTTGGTCCTTTTTTCTCTCTTCGTCCAAGTATTGTAATTCTTCAGTGTGCTCTTCATCAATTGTTTCCATCTCGTCCTCAAGGTGGGCTGCTCTTCTGCATTCTGCTGCAAGAGCTTTCTCAAGAAATTCCACCTTTTTGTGGACCTCTATCCATCGGGAGTAATCCGCATTGGAGCGTCCAGACGGGTCGACGATAGAGTCGAGTTTGGATATTAATTCTTCAATGACGGACGTGAAATTCTTGATGTCTGCTTCGGCAGGCATCTGTAAAATTATTAAATAAATTATTGTTTCATATTATTTCATACTACTGATATATGTATTAGTAAAATTTCTCATGGGTAACATGTCTATTTCGCGAGTGCACGTGATAGCAAGAATTAAAATATTCGTGATTTCCTATAAACGGCGGAATATATATTCCAACATGTTTTGAGTTTTTTGGAGTAAAACTCGAAAAATTCACTGTTTTAACATAGGTCGGTATAGGGAAAATTCTCAAAATTTGTGAAGATAAATATCCATAAAAATCAACTTTTCACCATCTAGTTTTCTAAAAAAAATACCGAAGAAATACTCTTATTTCTGAGAAATTCTTATGCCAGGATAATTTATGAGGTACATACATATGTGTATTTTATCCTTCATTGAAAATAATATGATACCCATATGGGTTTACAACGCCACCAGGTAGATAAAACTATTACACAAATATGTGCATTTCGTCCTCAACAAAAATAAAATACTACACACATGTATGTACTTCGTCCTTAAGAAGTTAATGTAATTAAAAATACATGTAAATTAATATACACACGTAACCTTTCAGATGTCGTAAGGTTAGGATCCCGGACATCAGAATTAACCGCTTGTCCTTCCGTTGCCTCCAACGGAGACTGCATGATAATCTCAATCTGATGCGGCGGGGGTGGTGCATCCTCAATCTTCTCTAGTCGCACCTGATGTAACTCCCTATTGTAAACTATGAGGGAATGTTGACCGGTTGTATTAGTCAACATTATCGCCAGATCATTTACTGGGATGATGATACGTTCGGCTTCCATCTGTTTTCCAGGATGGAAATTATGATTAAACATTAATGACTAAAAACCAACATTGCAGATATGGCCCGAGCCAGATGTAGAATTTTTACAATTTTACATGGGATTCTTTCATGAGAAACCATTTGTAGCGTCAATGAGCTTTGTATTGAAATTTAAACAGACCAACAGACAGACACGACGGTTCCATAAGCTCCGACTCGGGGAAATAATAATATATATCACAGAAATTTGCTTACCACTTCAACTGATTCTGTTCCCATATCCAAAGGACACATGATTTGATGGGTTATTTGAACACAATGAACTTATTCTGATCAAATTGAAAGTGATCTGAATTGCGACTGGGCGATGACATTATATTTGTGGAGCCTTCTATCAACTTAGCAATGCAATTAAAGTAAGGAACAGATACATACATGCCCAAAAAGCATTTACAATTTTTTTATTTAAATTTCGGTTTCCTACTAACTGCTAACAAATAGATAACTATATTTATAACATTAGCAAGTATTACCTAAAATCCAGACTAATAAATTACTTTTTAATAAAAATACGTAACCGAATTGCTAAATATTTGTAAGTTTACAAGGATAGTCAATGAAAAACATGTAATGTGTATATGCGTACACAAGTTTATTTTCTTAGAATTTTACATTTAAATTAAAGTTACTTAATTTAGATCTCATCAAGTATAAACAAATCCATACACAAATGTGAGTGTATAACCACCTTATATGTCAGACTAATAAATATCTATTTAATAAAAATATCAACTACGTTTCTTAAAATCCTTAATCGCTTTCTTCACCATTTGGCTTCGTGTCAAAATAGACTTGATATTCTTTCAGTGTTGCTAAAAATTCCTTGCACAATCCGCATCTCAGAGTTAAACTCCGTCCACATCCAGCAGACGATTGATTTTGTTTTGGCATAATCAACCGTAAACTTCTTACTCCTTCTAATGTAATAAATTGTCTTATACCAATATAGCCGGAGGGGATATAGTCCGTATGAGATTTATCCCAAAACTCGGGTTGGCGATAGTCTGTAATTTTGCCAAAAGGAGATTTTTTTAACTTTAGAGGGATTTCTGTCTGTTTCAGCGATTTAAATTCGTCATACTGCCTTTGAATAATTTTAATTAAATGAGGCAATTCCATTCCACTGACTTTCATAAATGTCGGGGTTATTTCGGGATTCATATTATTATCATTGTCTTTGCAGAAATGCACGTACCATATATAATTAAATTTATTAAAATATGGTCTCACTTTTATATCTCCAATAATCTTTGCATTGACATAGAACGATAATGTTCTGTAATCTTCATCGTATTCAGATGTAATATAGGATTTTTTCTTCTGCTCACTCGTGCGCTGTTTCTTTACAGATTTTGCAATATCGTTAAAAGTGATACGCTTTGTAACTACCTCCTCTTCATCCGTACTCTCATCGGATGAAATAATTACTCTTCGTTTGAGCTGTTTTCTTGCCAACTTTTTATCAATTACTCCTGGAGAATGTGTAACTTCACTTTCCTCTTCCTCAGGATTCTGCTCAGGAATTTCTTCACTATTCTCCACTTCACTAAAAGCTTGAGAATCTTGCATTTTGCTTTTAAAATTTACAATTTTATTTTTCAAATATTGTGTAAGGTCGATCTCCTGCTTCAAAATTGGTTGCCCTTTATTCTTTTTTATCATTGCACTGAATGCCAATTCTCGCCTTATATATCCAGTTTTCCTGGATTTTATACACTGGACACACCCCTTTAAATTATTTCTGTTAAACCAAGTTTGCGAATGTTATTTTTAGATTCAAATCTTTCTCTGCTCACATTCTCAGACAAATTTATTTGGGTGTGGTTTATGTAAGCATGGGTGATAGAGTTTTTATACATGAAAAACGTCACATTCCAGACAAATTAATTTGGGTGTGGTTCACGTAAGCAGACGTGATAGTATTTTTATACATGAACAACGTCACATTCCCAGACAAATTTATTTGGGTGTGGTTTACGTAAAAAAAGATTCTCTTTTTATGCCGTTCAGTTCCACAGTTCCCGTTTCCAGTGGGCGTGGTTTAAGTAAGAAAAGATGCTATTTTTATGCTATTCTGTTCCACAGTTCCCATTGTGGTTTATATAATCAGACTTGCTACTTTTATATAAGAATTAGAAACTAAACATGCACATACAAATCTAGTTGAGTGTGATACACTACACGGCATTATTTTCGTACGCATTGGCCCAATATAAAGTGACTCGATAAAAAGTGAAAGTGCAATCATGGCCAGTCTGTTGCGTCATACAATTTGTCCCTCTGAAATCCTACAGCAATATTCAATTTTTCAGCTCCAGCAATTTTTTAAGAATAAGCAATCCGAGCAATTTGTATTTGAAAAAGTTCATCCCGATTTTACTCCGAATGAGGAGCAACAACAAGTTTTAAAATATATTGATGTATCACTGTCAAATAATGTTTTAATTAGGACATATCTTACAGGATTAAGTGGCAGTGGAAAAACTGAGACAATCAAAAGCATAGGCAAAATATTCAGAAATCATAATATCACCCCCTTATTCTGCTCAGCGTTTGGCAAAATATCTTCCGAGATTGGCGGACAAACAATACATTCACTCCTTCCAATCGGTTATTATAAAAATTCCAATTATGCAAAACTTGCAAAGAAAATTAAGAGAACTCCACAGCTTGTAAATAATTTTAAAAAGTATTCAGCTATTATTATTGATGAAATAAGTTGTTGTAATGCCTCCTTATTTCACTACCTAAATCTTGTTTTACAGGTTGCAAAACTTTGCAAAACAAGCTTTGGTGGTTTGCATGTGGTGGTGAGCGGCGACATTCTTCAATTGAATTGTGTTTGTGCCACGTCACTAACGTCTCATTCAAAAAACGTGCCCCCTTTTGCTAAAGAAGGAATAAAATTATTTCGCACATTTCATCCCGTATTTGTCCTTCAAGTCAACCAGAGGCAGAATGGAGATGAAGCCTTTCAAGAATTGTTGATGCGATTGAGGCGAAAAGAAGTTACACAAGCCGACGTTGATTTATTAAATTCTCGCAGAGAATCGGTTTTGTCTAATGAGGAATTGACAAGATTTGATAAAGGATTATTCATCTTCCCCAGGAATATTTTCACAAGGTTAAAAAACCAGGCATCGTTGAAGCAGTTGGGAAATCCTATTATTAGCTTGAGACAATTTCCTGAAGAGCCAAAACTTGAAGATTATGATTGTGACGAAATTTCTATCGGATGTAGAGTAAAAGTGAAACGAAATTTTGACGTTGCAAACCGACTAGTGTCTGGAAGTGTAGGTACTGTTGAAGGCATAATATATGACCCTGACCTCCCTGACCTCCCATTACCAAGCGTTATTCTACTATCTGTCCCCAGGTATCGTGGAAATACAATTAATGGCCTTATTCCTATACCTCTGTTGAAACAATATGTAAAGGATTACGCAACCAATGAGTGTGTAAAAATTAATTATTTTCCCTTGACCCTAAATTATGCGTCATCCGTCCACTCATCGCAGGGAGTTACATTACCATGCTGTTGTGTACTTTTGGATGATGATGAAATGTGCTCAGGGATTAGTTATGTCGCCTTATCACGAGTTCGTGCCTTATCCGACTTGATGATATTAGATAAAGAGGTCAGCTTAAAGCGATTTCAAAGTCGAAAGTTTTTTCAGGGGTTTGGAAATATTTTGAAAGAATACAAGAGGCTGAACATTACACATTTAATTTTTGGACCCAAGCCATTACAACACCATTACTACTCGAGGGATTTTGACGATGAGTCAGAAAAAATTGCCTGATCCATTCAGGCCAATTATAAGAATTTATCGGAACCCATACATAAAAAGCTCTTGCAATTTGCTACGGAAATTCGAATGTCCAATTCCATCCTGTCACAAATTCTTTTACAGACATGCGAGTTTTCAAAATCATGCAGAGTTAAACCACTGTTGCATGATATGTTATAAAACGTATGTATATCCACGTTTTCACAAATGTCCTGGTAGTAAAATTGGACATGGAGCTCCTATAATTAAAGACTTGGAAACTGGTAAATTTGAACTCGTTGAATCAGCCTATGGAGGTGTAGCCATGTTATTCAAGCAGATTTTAGATAAACCATTGGCAAGTATTTCGGACACGTTGGATTATATATATGATGATCTTGAAAATATACTTTCATATTGCATTTACATGCATAAAGCAGTCTTAGCTGCGATTTACGTTAACGTGACGCTGCAAGATAGTAAAGGCAACGATAAGACTTTAAATATTTTGAGTCCGTTTCAGATGTTCGGTCATACAGATTTAATCCTATCCAGAATTCTGGCTGCTGGTGATTACTTGACAACTTCGTTAAGCCTTTATGGGGCAGACGGAAGTGGGTGGAAATTACATAGTATAAATCACGTAAACCTAAAAATTGGAAAATATACAATATTCAGTGCGAGAGGATGGATTCAGCATCCAAAAGAGCTGGGAAAGAAAATTATAAATATTCACACAAAAGGAAAAGAAAACTGTTTTCAACTTTCTTTACTTTGTGCTCTGAAACGTCATTTAATAATTCCTCCTAAATTACAAATGATTATGCGACAACCTGGACGAGTACTGAATAAAAATCAAAAGCTTCAACTCAGACGCTATTGGGAAAAGCCGAAATCATATGAAGCTATTTTATCCAAAAATGAGAAAACAGGCGAGATCAACTTTTCAGCAATGGAGGGGGCTACCGCAGTTAGTCAAATGGATGCATTTGAAGCTGAGAACCCTCTATATTCTGTGACTGTATTTGGTTATGAAGAAAAATTATTTGTTATACGACCGGCGCCGAAAATCCGCCCAAATCATGTGGACCTTTTGCTTTTGAGATTAGCCAAACCAGGATGCGTATATTTAAAGAAAGATGACGTGGAGTATGATTATCACTATTGCACAATACCTTCGTTATCAAAATTTGTAGGAAAGAGGGGTTATCGAAGAACTGAAGTTTGTGAATATTGTTTTGGAATTTATAAGACATCAATGGAAAAGCATAGCCAAAAATGTGCCATTGCGCATCGCAACCAAAATCAATCTAAACAAATCAAATTTCCAGAAGACGACGAGTACGTGTTTAAGAAATTAAGAATGATAGAAGATATTCCAATAAAAATTTTTTTCAAATTCTTGTGGTACAACGAAAATAATCTTCCAAATGTGTCTACTTCTAACCAAAATTTGAAATTTACCACACCTGTTTCAAACATTAAAATCAAAGCATATTTTCTTTGCGTTATCAATCAGTTTAATCTGTTAGACGACACGCTACTGTATGATGGGATAAACCCTGTTGAGCATTTTATACAAAAAGTAATTGATTTAAAATCTTACTACAAGGATTATCTAAAAAGGGCATACGTGCCAATTCGCTTACAGCCCAACGATAATTTACGTCTAATGCTTGCGACGAAATGCGAAATTTGTGGAACCAGATTTAATGAAGAAAACAAGAAATGTGCCGATCATTCCCACTGGACTGGGCAATTGCGTTATGTGGCGTGTAATAATTGCAACATTTTAATCCAAATCAATTCAACTCCAATCCTACTAGGACACAATATTAATAACTACGAATCTCATTTTTTATTAGAAAGTTTCAACAAACGCTACGCCAAGAATGTTAAAGTCATCATGAAGGATTCTGAAACGATAATAAGCTTGAAATTTAACGGAATGAGATGTCTGGATACCCGGACATTGTTGGATCACGATTTGTACGACCTGGTAGACCGACACAGAAAAGGAATTGTGGATAATCTGCATTATCGATTCCCTTGTCTTTATGAAGTATTACGAAATACAGGGGTGGACGAAATGTATTTTTCACAATTTTTATTTCGAATAGCAATGCCATCAAGAGCTATTAATAAACAAGTTCATGATGGGTTTCCAAAATATGACCTATTTAAAAACCCGGTGACTAATGAATGCCCACCCGAAAGCGAGTATCAAATGGCTGGGGCAGTTTTTTGGAATTTTAAAATGAAAGATGCGACGGAGCTACTTAACTACGGACTCAAAACACAGGTACTTTTAACGGCTGATATATTTCTTGACTTCAACAAAATGGCAATGAAACATTTCAAGCTGTCGGTATTTCATAGTTACTCCTTAAGTGGCTACTCATTCGATGCTTGCTTTTTTGACACAAAGGCATCATATCAATATATCAAGGACCCAGAAATAATAACTTATTTAAAAAACAATGCAATACGGGGTGGACCAACCGAATCGGTCATAGCCAATAGTGAACGCTTAGACAATTTTAATCCCTTCAAGCCAAGGAGTAATATTTTAATTATTGACGAAAATTCTCAGTATCCCTCAAAAATGAAAAGCAAAGTAGCTGTTGGCTCTTATTCTTTTCTTTCACCAGATGATTTATCAAAATTTGATTTAATGACTGATTGTAATGGCGAGTGGAACTATATAGTGGCGGTGCAAATTTCCCATCCAGAAAATCTCCACGTACTCCAGAGTCCAATGCCTCCTTGCCCTTACCAAAGAGAACTCAAATATGCCGATTTATCCACAACTCAGCACCTGTATTCTACTGGTTTAAACGGCGAAGATCAGGCATCATTATTTGGGAAAAAATTAGTTGCCGACCTGTATGATAAAACTTACACTTGCTGCTTGGAAGCAGTCCAATACTTTCTCGAATCTGGATTAAGGGTTACAAATCTCAGCAAGTGTTTAAAATTCCGACAAGCTGCTATTCTGGAGCCATTTGTGGACAAGTTATCTGAACTCCGAAAAAAAGCTGTTCTCGAGGGGGATGAAATTGGGAGCCTATTATTTAAAGGAATAATCAATAGAGTTTTTGGCGTTTGCCTGTCCTCAGCTGAAGATTATGTGGATTTTGAGGTGTGTGTTACATCAGGAGACATGATTAAACTATTGTCTAAACACACATTTGAAGACTTTACAATTTTGAACGGACTGGAGGGGGTATGTCTTTTCAGAATGAAACGTAATACGGCAATGTACAAATACCCAATGATTATGTCAATTCAGACTCTGGACCGTGCGAAACTAAGTCTTTATAAAATGTGGGATTTGATCAGATCTGAATTTGGAATTGAAAATACTAAATTATCATTCTACGACACGGATTGCCTTTGCGTTCACATTATGGACCCAAAAAATCAATTTTACAAAATATTAAGTAGAATGGAAGAACACTTGGACTTATCATCACTGCCAAACTGGCATCCTCTGTACAGTGATCGTAATGCATCCGTAGGAGGAAAATGGAAAATTGTGACACTGGATGCTATTAGTGTGATTTCGCTTCGAGTTAAATGTTATTCAATTCCGTTGGGAAGGTGTGCCTTTTGCTCAGCAGTGTTTGATCCGCGATGTAAATGCAATTTGGTGAAGAAAGCTAGTGGGATACCACGTTCAACAATTATAAATAAACTTGATCATCAAATGTACGAAGATGCACTAGTCAGGGAGGGCGCCTTAACTCTTCAATCATATGCAGTCGAATCAAAAAAAATATAACCTTAGCGTTGTCAGTCGCGAGTACAAGTTTCATTCATTAACCACTTCGCCCCTATAACGACTATGTGGCGTATTTGACCTTTACGCCGAGTACGACCATGTGGCGTAAGTTCCCTTGGCACCGGAATACGACGATGTGTCGTATTGACCCTTGACAACGGATACGACTATGTGGCGTATTTTCCGTTCACACCGGTCTACGACTATGTGTCGTATCCGGAAAAAATTAGGTCATAGCCTCTCCAAGCAAAGCAAAGCAAGAGTTATGAGTCAACAACCCGCCCTTTAGGCGGGAAGATAAATTTTCTGTTAGGAAATAACATTAGAAAGGGATGCAAAATAAATTAATAGCCAAGTGGCTATATCTAGCCAACACGCCGAGTTGTGAAAACTGTTTTTTGCACGGAAATTTCGACACCGATTTATTTCAACAACGCTTTACGATAAGATTAGAGAAATTGTTTTGCTCGCATGTAGCACAAACGGGCGTTTTGGGCGAGAAAACTAAAAGTTGGTTGAATTCCATCATTGCATGGATTTAATTATAGGCCACAAATAATCTTGCCAGTAGGGTAAACTACGTCAAAATTAATGATTACGTATCGGGTGCCGCTGAAATATCTTTTGGGCGGGAAAATTAAAAATTAAGAGATTGCAGGAATTAGTAGAATTTAATTTTCCCGCTTAAAATTGATTTCTATTCACCAGATGCGCCATAGTCTATTTTCGAGCAATTTCCTCTCACGGGATAATTATTCATTGCCATTGCTGTGTATTTAAAGTCATTGTAAGGATTTTTGGTTTTCCCGCCCAAAATCGGCTCCTAATGCGCTTTAGGCGCTATAATCAATATTTGCGAGTTTACGTACTATTATGCAAGTATTACTCCATGCTTGTCTAACTTTTCATGCAATTACAATCATTTTTAAAATTCGGCGTGTTGGCTATTTTCGGCTATAAACATTGGTGGTTCGCCACAACTCAAAAATGCAAATTATAACTCAAAATCCCTTCTTGAAAGGTTATTCACATCAATTTTCATAAAAAAGTGTCCAGAATAATTCCGGTGGGAACACCATTTTTTAATTCATGGCCCAGGAATTAACGTCATGCAGTAGATAAAAATTTCGGGGTCAAGGGAGGTAAAAATTCGCGGTTACTAGGGGTGAAAGGTATGAAAAAACTCGTCTCCTAGGGTTGAAGTGGTTAAACCCGCGTCGATACCTTTTGCCAAATATGATAGACACCTACGCATTTGGGGATGCAAGAATATCTACTACTGAGAACCCCCTTCAATCGATGACTCCGATTATGTAATAATTTGTGAACAAGCAAAGCTTTATTAGTAAGGAAATTAACTTTTACGATCCATTACGCGGCTAGAGTCTGTCGAGGATACAGTAATAAGTGGTTACCCTTTCAAAGCTCAACTTCTGAAAAACAATGCAAGATTTTACAAAAGTTAGCTTGGAGTTACCCTGGCCATTTATTATATTAATCTGTGGGAAAACCGGAAGTGGTAAGACCGAACGAGTCATAAGTTGGATCCGTAACCGTGATAAATTATTTGATCAACGGTTTGATAAAATTTTATACGTATACAGTCAACCTCAACAAAAGTTGACTGACATTTCTCGTGAGGTTCCAATGCTGGAATTATGTAATGATATTTACAAAGTAGAAAGCAAACTGGATCCAAAGAAATAAAATTGGATTATATATGATGATTTTTTAACTTCTATGGAAGAAGATAGGAAAACTAATTTGTTTATCAGGCATTTTGTCACGGTCAAAGCTCACCACTTAAATTGTTGCACGACCATTTTGATCCAAAACTACACTCCAAACAATTTCAAATCTGTAATTCTAAATCTTACGCATTTAATAATATATCGAAACCTGAGAGATATTCGTCCAATAAATAACATTAGTTCTCAAGTTTTTGGAAATTCAACATTTATTTCAGAGTGTATGAAAGACCAAGCAAACGATAAATTTGCTTTTGTATGCATCGACTTTTCGGGTAGTGAAGAATTAAGGTGCCGCAATTTTTTCATTGAGAGTGACCAGTGTTAAAGTGCTATATTCCAGAATGACTCTCGAAGATATAAGCGAACACCAAGAATTTCTGGTTCAGTTAACAAACGCCAGTTCAAATAAAAGAAAGCAGCTCCTCCAAACTTGCACAGTTGAGCAACTTGAGTGTGTTATAGAAATAATTGTAAATTTCAAAAAATTTGATAAAAAGGAAACTTCAAAGCTTAAGGCATTATTTAAATATTTTTTAAAAAACCGTAATTTGAGTTTAAAAAATGCTAAAGCCTTTTTGACTTTTAACCATTCTGCAGTGAAATATATTCTGTCAATTGCATTACAAAAAATCATCGAAGAGGCTGTGATTTGCTCCTGTATTTAATATGGCCAAAGTATTTTATTTGATATCCAGTGACACATATAAAAAGTTACAAGAAAGTGAATTATTGTCATTAGTAAAATATGACCACATAGAGACCGTTGGATCAGGAATTAAATTCTCAATCGTGCAAGAATTGGGTATCTTTTAGTGACAAATTCAAATGGAAGAAACCAGGAAACAAATTATAAAAACATATTTCTCTCCAAAATCACCAGCCGGCTATAATTCTCTAACGGCATTTCTCCGGAATTCAAAGTATAAAAACAAATGGGTGGTCAATGATGTTTTAAATTCTTTAAAAACCTATTCAATACACAAAGGGATACGAAAAAACTTCCCGACTCGAAAAGTAATGGTCAATTCTATTGCCCAGTATTGGACGTGGGATTTAGCCGTTTTACCAAACTTTAGAAGTAATTCTTTCTTCAAGTATATATTAATTGTTCAAGACTTGTTTAGTAAATTTATCTAGGCAATTCCCCTAAAAAAAGATTCAAACGCCATCATTGAAGGTATCAAGCAGCTTTTGAAGAAGGCAAAGGGCAGAAAACCTGGAAAAATCTGGGGTGACCAAGAATCTGGCTGGATGAGCAAAAAAACTCAAGACTTTTTAAAATCATTGGGAATTCAAACATATCATACATTTAACAAAACTAAGAAAGCGATTTACTCAGAGTTATCAGTTAAGAATGTGAAAAAAGGCTATATGCTATCATGACTCACACCAATTCCAAAAATTGGTTAAAGCACTTAAACTCAGTAATATACTCTTTGAATCATAGCTACAATTCAAGTGTAGGAATGGCGCCAGCAAATGTAACTATTAAAGATGAGAGCGAAATTTGGGACAGAATGTATAATAAAATTATTGATATGAACCCTCCCAGTAGTAAATTAAAAATTGGAGACGTTGTTCGAATAGGGAAGACGAAGATTGATCTAGGGAGAAAATCTTATTTAGCAAACTGGACCGACGAATTATTTAAAATTTCGAATATAAATCACGACTCAAGGCCTGTTTTGCTCTATTCCCTCACTGACTTGACAAACGAAACAGACAAACGAACAGAAGGGACATTTACAGAACATCAGCTAAACAAAGTCAGCGGACTTAATAATAACGATAAATAATGGACAACTCACCAGAAGATTTTTTTGTGACTCTACAAAGTGACTTGTGCAAGGAATATTATAGTGACAATAATCCAGCTAACTTTTGCAACTACCTAGCACGCCCAATTGACTCCCTCAAAAATCAATACTTGGTGGGGGTTTCGGAAATATTCTTTAGCGAAGCGGACGCCGTCTTGTTAGCTCCTTCAAGTCAGCTAAAATTCTTCAACTCATCAACTGACGGTGAAATTTTAGCTGTACAACAGTCAAACAGTATAATTTCATTCCCGAAAACTCAAGACACACTTGTAAACTTTTATGACGCGTGGGGAGTTGACCTAGACGCCAGACAGACTCAAGATCCTAAAATAACTTTGACAAAGGAATATTCCTATACAACCTTAAGTGGGCCTTATACTGTGTTAACGTTGACAGATCCTTTAAACGAATTTTATGTCACAATTGAACCATAAATAGCTGAGCTCTTGGGGTTTTCCCAGACCACATTTATGCCTGGGACTTATACGTCACCAAACGTTCAATCTGATGAAGTTTTTGAGAAAATACCAATGAGCACACTCATAAAAATTACGTTTAGTAAAATAATTACCCACAAACTTTTTGTGAAAGAGCCTGATGAGTACAGCAGAGAGATTTTGATTGAGAATATTGCTTTGGAATTTGCTGCTCAAAATATTAAAGTATATCTTCCCATGATCGACGACAATTTTCTTACGGTAAATATCATGGAAAAGAACATGACAATTTCTATGGGGTCGACAATTAACGAACTTTTAGGGCTGGATTCAAATTTTGTATTTCGAGACCAAAAGACTGATCTGAACTTGTAAATTTGGACGTCATCAACAGAATCTAATCAAAGCATTTCATCGAAATCGAGGGTACTAATCTTGAGCGATGTTATGGAGTCACAAATCTATGGTGACTCATTCAAGACAATTTTACGAATTTTACCAAACGCGGACGCTACTATAAATACAGATCGTCATTTAATATTCCATCCAGTCTTCTATTTTCCTGTACGCAGCGGGCAAGTGAAATCAATCAGAATTACATTAGCAACTGATAGAAATGAAATTTTAAAAACTCTAGAATTCCCCACAGTTGTTGTTTTGCATTTTAAGAAACAATGAGAAAGCTCATTTGCAACAAAAACGGTTGCAGACTAGAGGGAAAAAAATCCGAAATGTCTCAAACGCTCGGTGCCGGAGGTGGTGGGTTCCATGCAAGCAATTCTACATATTTAAAGCCTTTCAAGCAAGCCAATAAACGGAAATCATATACCCCTAAAAAAATGGGAACGGGAAAAAAACGAAAGGTTCAAGCAAAAAATACAAAAGTGAGCAAATCTTCAAAAAAGATTCGAAAACCAGGCTTAAAGAATCGGAAGCAAAAGAAACAAAAAAAATGAAAATTCTTCGTTAATGTTTTGGGAATTTCCAACTCCCTA